CTGTAGCAGCATCTTACATTTTACAGGGGCAAATCGCATGCCAAACATACGAAGATTGCCGCTCAAGGTGTTCAGAAGACTCTGCATTTTGTCAGCATCCTCCCCCAACAGGACTATGTCAACTGCATATTCTAAGTCCATAAGACTATTCCCTGGTAACAAGTCGATTCCTAAGTCGTTAAGTTCAGTTAAGGATACTTCCATTAGCATATCTATGATTAAGTTAAACAGAAAAGGGGAAAGTGGACATCCCTGATGGACACCACTGGTTGTTATCAATTCAGATGACAATTCCCCATAAGCCCTTACACAGCTACGTGAGTTTGAGTAGAGTGCCTTGATTAGTGCAATGTACTTTCTTGGCACTCCCTTCATAGTCAAACATTGCCATAGAACCTCTCGATCCACGGAGTCGAAGGCCGCTTTCAAGTCAAGAAATATGGCAATTGTTGGACGCCTAAAAGTGTGTCTATGTTCTAGGATCTGTCGGAGAGTGAAGATGTGATCTATGCACCCTCTACCTGGCCCAAAGCCTGCTTGGTTTTCCCTCGTTTGTTCCTCCCGAGTTCGGCTTAGCCTGTTCATAATTACCGAGCCTAGGATTCTAGAGACTATGTTCGTTAAGCTGATCCCCCTATGATTATCACATGACGGCTTGTCTCCCTTCTTGAATATTGGTATAATAAGTGACTTACCCCAGTCTGATGGGACCGTCTCTGATTCCCAGACGTTGCGTAGTACCTTAGTTAAACTATATACTAGCATGTCACCCCCATATTTAAACACCTCCGGAATAATTCCGTCGGGTCCTGCCGCTTTGCCTCGTTTCAAATTACAGATTGCTTTGGTGACCTCACTTACAGACGGCGGGCCAGTGTCTATGTCCCATTCGGGTGTGTGCTGGATGGCGGGGAGGCTCAGTGTGGCTGTAGGCAAGTTAAACTGTTCCTCGAAGTGTTCTTTCCAGCGTTCGAGGCATCTATCCTGAGAGCTAATTAAGGAGCCATTTTTCTCACAAATAGTCTCACTTATGATTTGCCTTCTCCCACCCGTTTCCCTGATGAGTCTAAAGAGTTGCCTAGTGTTGCCTATCGCCGATGCTTTTTCCATCTCTTTCGCCTTTGTCAACCACCACTGTTCACGGTCCTTGCGGAGACTTTTCGTAAGAGAGCAGCTAGTGACTCGCTAGAGGATAAAGTGTTTTCTGGAGTTCTAGTGAGAAGTCGTGACCAGTGAGGTCCATCCAGTCAAAGTGTGAGGATGGATGTTCCACTGACGAAATTGGTTGGTGCTAGTCGCGCGAAATCACGAATTGGTAGAAGTTAGAATTCATGAGCTGGCCACTGAATAGGGTCCCAGTGGCTGAATGGTATACGAGCCTGCCTTGTAACTCAAGGATCCTGAGTTCGAACCCCAGTGGGTGCGTACTGCCGATGATTGCCAAACTAGGCTGACGAAACACCTGTCCAGTACTCCAGTGCTGGTTTTCTATGGTTCTGTAACTGATATCAGTCCGTGATCAACTCGCGAAAAACAAAAGTACAATCCCCTGGCATAATATATAACTTGTGTGTTATTATTATTTATTTTATTCTTTAACGTTCCCAGTGGAACATAGGGGGCATCAAGCTACAGGCTTGAAGTGTCAGTAGTAGTAGTGCTTATTTTAACGGGAAAGGGTTGCTAGCCAGCCTCATTCCCAACCTTCCTTCTTTACCAGTCTTATTACTGCCTTAGCGAGGTGAAGAAGTGCGTCTGTGGACGGGGATCGAAACCCGGACCACCTACGTGGTTGGTAAGCACGGTACCGATGTGCCATCAACGCACCATGTTTTTAATAATAATAATAATTTGCTTTATTCCAGAAACAGTACTAGTGCTACAGTGTGGAATTTTCAACGCATGTCTACAGTATTTGCATCTAATTTTATCAAACATTAAAAGGAGTATTTCAAAAAACTAATATAAAGACAACAACAACAAAAACAAAAAGCACAAAAATAATTTTTAAAAATGCGAAAAACTACCACGACGAAGAAAGGAAAATCAACAACATAATAAATAATATCTCAGTATTGGGTAGTGGAAGCTATGATATGTTTATGCGTGGTGACAGTAAAGCTATAGTCATACAAGAAGTTTAGAAATGATATTTAAGAATGTTTATCGCCAAGATGATGAATTAATTTAGGTTGAAACAACACTAAACAATCATAAAATAACATTTCAGGGTTGTTTTGTTTCTTTTATTGTCAGGACTAATGCAGTGTTTGTAGTAGTAATAGTGTGAGTAATCCTGCATAATACAAAATTTTAAGGGTGACAATGGCGTTCACAACCAATGATTGTCAGTTTAATATTGCCGAAAAAAATAAAAAATAAGAAAAAAACCACAAAACTAATAATTACATGATGGTTAATGACAGGAAAATTTTGTACTACTCTTAGTCCTAATATAGTCAGAACCAGTGGATACACAAAAGAAGGAATACAGTTAAGTACAAAAAGGAAGCCAAAGTTAATAATTTAGGTAGCTTAGTATGTTTAAGAAGGAGTTTACTGTAGAATATAAATAAGAGAGAAATAAGAGATCCTAAAATTATGATTATTAACAGCAAAAGCAAGTCATAGGTTTCGCGCTTAACATTGTCTCTGTCACTTAGAACACGGGCCAAATATGGTATCGTTGAGTTCCTCTACTTGTTTGTACGAGCATAAATTATTTTATTCTGATTTCTGGTTCTATTTGATGAGATACAAGGCGGGAGTTGGGAATAGAGGGGGTGTTGGGGGTTGGAGAGTATGGTTTTAGACCATTTTTCGCATGTATTCAGATGCCTTTCAACTGATGTAGTGACGAGCTGACTGAGTTTTACTTTACATCACTGGTCCTACTAACTACCTTCAACATCCTTCTCAGGATGGTATAGTCCTTTTTCAGTAGTCCAAGAAAGACTAACGGGAAGCAGTAAAGTAGAATAGGTAAGATACAAAAGTTGACAAATTGTGAAAGTAGAGGTTGGGTGATTCCAGTTAGTCTAAGTTTCTTAATGTAGTAGGTTAAACGGAACACTATCTTACAAATAGTAAGGATATGAGATGTCCAAGTAAGGACATTATTAGTGTACGAAATAAAGCGAATAAAATCTGTAAGCTAAGCTTAGCTTAGCTGCTAACTAAGTGCTTTCATAACAAAATGATATTAAAATCAAAAATTCGTCAGTTAGACTTTTTGTTTTGTTTTGTTTTAGTCTGGAGTCGTCAATCGAACTTCTCTTAATAATTCGAAATATTTATATCCCAATACATTTGAAAACAGGCGATAAATGTTATTGATAAAACAGAATTGAATGAATTCATTAAATTTCGATAGAACTAATGTCCAGCTATTGAATACTGTATATACAGGAATATACAGGGATAGTGCGTCGGTGGTACAGCAATTAGGACGCTCGCCGACCATGCACATGGTCCGGGGTTCAATCCCCGGCCGACGCATTCCTATGCCTCACTAAGCCAGTTATAAAACTGGTAGAGAGGAAAGGTTGGGCATGAGGCTAGCAACCCTATAATTTCTGGTCAAGGGTCAGAATTAGAGAATTACAACTAGGAATTAAAATACCACAATAAACAGGGGAGACGGATAAAACTCAAGCAAAGTAGCATCATAATTAGCGAGAAGATTGACATATTGTTCAACTGGGGATTAGAAATGTAGAAATAACAAAAAATAGACAGGAAGTTTGGATAAAAAAATCTAGTGGGATCATAACTAATGTGAAGAATAATTGCTAATGAAATCAGGGATTAAATATGTAGAAACAGTAAAATGACAAAATAGACAGGAAGTTCGGATTTGAAAATATGGCATTGTAAATAGGGATTAAGAAAAACTTAAAAATAACATGAATAAACAGGAAGTTTGGATAAGAAAGGCAATAATATAGCCACTATTAAAAGAATCACCTGTTTATGACAGCCACGGCAGGGACAAAGGTTGGACGTATTTCTTGTGGATACATAGAGTGAGTTTGAGCTTTAGGATAGCTAATGCCTCGACTATGCCCAGATGCTCTAATTCTACTCCCTTTTATAGGTCTTACCGAATCTTGTATATGATTTTGAAGGATTTTTCGAATGGCGCTGAATTGACCAGATGTTCTGTCACTGAACTATAAACACATTTTCGTTCTCCTTTCACTAACCAGGCTGGATAGTGTTCACAAGCGCGTTTTTCAAGTTGGCGCATGGTACAGCCGATATATTCAGCTCCACACGAGCAAGTAAACTGGTATATGCACGTTGAAGAGGCCCCATGTGACAGCTTGTCTTTCGTATTCTGGCTGAACAGTTGCTTGCCGAAAAACGTCAGTCGTAGGCTTGCGGCTAGGTATGTTTTCCTGAGAGATTTGCAGAGGCGTTTACGAAGGATTTATTCGTCACATTAGTTATGATCCCACTAGATTTTTTATCCAAACATCCTATTGTTGTTATTCCTACATTTCTCACCCCTAATTTTACATAATGTAAATCTTCTCGCTAATTATGATGCTACTTTCTATGAGTTTTATCCGTCTCCCTTGTTTATTATGTCATTTTAATTCCTAATTGTAATTTTATTAATTTGTCCCTTGACCAGAAATTATTCTGGAACCTTCTCATGCAAATATTATAAATACACGAATGTACAGCTATCATCTAGTTGACGGTGACTTCGTTGAAAAGAAAATTTTCTTCCTCGCTGCAACTGTCTTTTTATCATTCCCTCCCTATTGAGGAATCGCAAACTAGGCTGACGAAACAGCTGGTCGCCCAGTACTCCCTGTAAGTTTTCCAATACTCCTATAACGGATATCAGCTCATAATCAAACGTGTAACCAATCATATCGTTGAAAAAATATTACCACTTGACAATATATAAAACAATTAAAATTATTAAAAATACACAATATTTCCTTTCTTATAGACTAAAAATTCAATAGAGAAAAATTTTCACTTACTAATGTTTGACTAAATAATCCAGCAAGTAGAATAAGACAACCACGCCAAGTGAAATGTTCAGCTAAATACGGTGTAATGATGGATAACAGGCCAAAGCCTAAACATCCACCACACATTACCATGCCAACAATAAAAGCACGATGTTCTTCAAACCAATGTCCAATGACTGTAATAGCTGGTAAGTAGATTAAACTACAACCAATGCCTAAAAAAGGGGAGCGGTAGGCGGGATAGAAGGTGCAGTGGGGAAGAATAAAATAAAAACAGAAAAGGAGAGAATATTATATATATGTAAATATACGACATCATAATTCAAAAGAATGGATATTGAAAAAAGAATACTCTTTTCGATAACCCCTTCATCATCAGGCTCTACAGTTATATGTACATAATAGTGAATGAATGAATTAGTGTTATGAACAACAACATTAATGTTGTTTAGATAACATCGAATCAATAATATTGATAGATTACAGCTAAACACCATCAGTATAAAATAAACTGAATGTCAGAAAAATTAGGAAAGATAATATTACAAATTCATGAATTTATAGTTTCTGCTGAAGGCCAGGGCAGTAGTAGGGGCTGGACTTGCTTCTTTTGAACACAGAGCACTGGTTGTTTGAGGCGAATTTCAATAGCCTCTGCTATTTGCAGCATGCGGTGCTTCGATGATGATTTGGCAATTTATTAGGCACCCGGTAGATGATGATAGAGAAGGATTCTTCAACGCTGGCTGGCTTTGTGGCTGGCCGGTTTGCACTAGATGGTCCAATATCGAACTGTTAATGGTTTTAACTACACCTTTACTTAGCCATAGTGGGAGATGTTCTCGAGCGAGCACGAAAAATCAAGTTCCTAGAGCAATGACTGATATAACTCGCTCCACCACAAGCACAGTTGAATTGGTAGATACAATTTGAAGTGGCTAGTCTAGGTACTTCATCTTTCAGTCGAGGAATCACCATCGGTCGAGTAAAGAATAAGATTTAGGTGTGTAGTTCGACAGCAGGTTCTCTCCTGCACATCTCTACATCTTTCGCCTTTTTTCTATACATGCTCTTATTAGCCAAAACATCAAAGGCTAATTTGATCACGCTTTTGGCAACTTTTTCAATGTGTATTTATCAATTCACCTGCTTCGGTAAAGCTAAGTAATATAGAACGGTACCACCAGAAGGACATTCATTGTCTAGACATGCCCATGGACACTTCATAACATAGTTATTTATTACAAGGAGAACATAGAATAAACAACAATTCACTTTTGGAGCATATTATACAGAGGGATAGTTTCGCATATGCCAGTTTATGCTGTCTCTGGCTTAGTAGACGTGATATCCGACTATTGACCAAGGGGTGGGTGTACTGCTCATCAGTCCGCTCCGTCCTCCTTTATGGCTGTGAGACCTGGCCATTGAGAGCAGAAGACATGAAAAGACTAGCTGTCTTTGATCATAGGTGTCTGCGTTCTATCTCCCGCGTGAAGTGGTATAATAAGGTGAGCAATATTAAGATTAGGCGTCGAGTGCTAGGTAAGGCGGGGAAATCAATAGACGAGACTGCCAAGCTACATCAACTGAGATGGTTAGGACATATGTTACGCATGTCTAGCCATCGCCTTCCTCGACAACGGGCATTGTTAGCTGATATAGGGTCAGGCTGGAAAAGAGCTAGCGGCGGTCAAACCAAAACATGGCTTCACCAGTCAATGAAATCTACAATAGTTAGCCTAAGCCACGTAGGAAGGTGTAGACTTCCTGGTTGGGTTCCTCGGGACGGTAAAAACCAACGGTTGGAAACAATTGGTGACATGGCTCAAAATCGTTCTCAATGGCTGGCACAGATGCATCCACTCCTTGTGACTTATGATTCCCAATTAAACTGTTTTGTTTTTCGTTATTACTATTCCTTTGTCTCACACCTCTGTTTACTGTCTATATTATGCATGTCTCCTACTTTCTTCTCTTTCTTTGTGTGCTACAAGGAGGGAGTGTGGCGACTTGAACTGCCGCACATCGGTGCAAAGTTCTATGTCGAAAACAGATAGACAGACAGACAGGAGCATATTATTACTTCTGGTCATATAGTATCAGTGACTGACTGACTGACTGAATCACTAGTTTCAATGTAGAACTTGGCACAGATGTGTACAACTTCGAATTGCCACACTACGTGCACCACATAAAGGTAAACAGAGGACTAAAGAGATATTCAAAAGATAGATATTGGATATTATAAATCAGAAAGCGTGAATGCATCTGCGCCAGCCATTGACAACTAATAACTCCAGCCATTGGTTTTTTATCCTCCCGAGAACCCCAACCAGCCAAGAAGTCTACATCTCCTTACGTGGCTGTCTGACTGACTGAATTAAACAAACTGTTGTGGATTTCATTGACTCATGAAGGAAGCCATGTTTCGGTTTGACAAAACACTAGCTAGCTTCTCTCCAAACTGATCCATCCTATGTCAGTCAGCCAACGTTGCTCATAAAGGAATGGGATCGATGGCTAGGCATGCATGTGTAACACATGTCTAAACCATCTCACTCAATTGGTGTAACTTAACAATCTCGTTGATTGATTTTCCCTCCTTACCTAGCACTCGACTCACGACGAACTTCAATAGTGCTCACCTTATTACACCGACCACCTAACATGGGAGATAGAATGCAGTCACTTATGATCGAAGACAGCTAGCCTTTTCAACGGCCATGTCTCATTCACAGCCACATAGGAAGATGGAGCGAACTGCTGCATGACAGTGAACACGTCCTCTGGTCGACAGCCAGCCAAATATCAGCCAGAGATGGAGTGAGTTGGCATGTGCCAAACGAGCCTTCTGTATCCAATATGGGATTTCGTCAGTAATCAACCCGCTGGGGCTGGCTGATGCAAATTCCCAACGAAATAAGTGAAGTGGTTAACACGCTCTATCAATTCACTCTCCCCTATCTTTAAGCTAAGGGTCAATGTAGTCAAGTCCGGTAGAATCATCTTACATTACATCGTATGACAAATATTCGAAGATTGCTGCTCCTCAAGGTGTATAGAAGACTTTGGATGTTGTCAGCGTTTCCACCTAGAAGGACTATAGCATCTCCACATTATAAATCAGCGAGGTTATTCCCTGGTTGCAAAAAGTCGATCCCTGAGTCGCTGAAGTAAGTTGGGAGTAAAGTCCTTTAGTACATCTATGATAAAATTAAACATAAATGAGGACAGTGGACATTCCGGATGGACGCCACTACTTATCAACAGTTCAGATGATAACTCTCCGTAAGCTCTCACCTGGCTGCATGAGTTCGAGTACAGTGCTTTTATCATTGCGATTAATTTTCTCTCGGTATTCCCTTCACAAGCAAACATCGCCACAGTACCTCTCAGTTGACGGAATCGAATGCCGCTTTCAGAGATCAAGAAATATGACGATTGTTGGACCCCAGTAATTATGTCTATACTCCAGAATGTGTCGGAGGGTTAATATATATATATATGATCAATATGTCTTCATTCTGTTCTAAAGCCTGTTTGGTTCTCTCATGTTTGTTCCTATGGAGCACCTCTTAGTCTACGCATGATTAGACAGTCATTGTTTCTTAGCATCCCAGGGACTTCAACCAGGCAATCGACTAGTCATAACAAAGTATTGGATTTTGTAGGGATTAAAATTTGACTGGAAATCGTCCAACCAATCAAATTTAAACTGTATTGTTAGTTGGTCACTGGTGGCTAACAGCGGAATTGAGAATGTGAGTTTCGTCCTGTTCTGAACGCCTCACTAGATATCTACCTGCAATTTCCTCAGCCAGTTAGTGAATCATTATTGTTTTTCGAATATTGGTTTTGTAGGTATTTTGCTTGATTGGATTGAGGATCTCATCATGAACTGAGGCAGTAACTCATCGAAGAAGACAGTGAGAAATGGCCGCGCTATGTCGTGAATTGGCAGAAGTTAGAATTCATGCGCTGGTCACTGGATAGGAGCCCAGTGGCTACTGAATGGTCTACGAGCTCGCTCGCCTTGTAACCCGAAGGTCCTGGGTTCGAACCCCAGTGGGTGCGTACTGATGAAGAGTCCCAAACTAGGATGACGAAACAGCTGTCCAGTACTCCCAGGTAGTTTTTCAGTGGTTCTCTAACTGATGTCAGCTCATGACGATAAAATCCTCCATCCAATCACGATTGTGTCCCCTCTAAGACTCGAATCCAGTGCGAATTATTTTAAAATAACTCAAAAATATCAACTGAATACACATTCACAACAAAATAAACAAACAAGTCGACTACAATACAACTTGATTTTAAATTTACTCACCTCCAATTATACCAAAGACAATGGTGAATGTGAATATATCATGTATGAATAAAGCACATATTAGAAAGCACAATGTGGTGATTATTGAACCAACTGAGGCAACTATACGATAGTCGAATCGATTTACCAATGCACCGGTAAGAGGACCTATATATATGGATGGAAATAACAACACCATGTTAACAACTCCAACTGTATATATACAAATTTACATGTATCTGTGGGAGCAGTTACATTAGAAGAACAGAAACAAGGGCATATCTACAATTTTCTGAACCCGGTAGATGATAGAGAAGGATTCCTCAACGCTGGCTTTGTAGCCGGTTTGCACAAGATGGTCTAATATCGAGCTGTTAATGGTTTTCAGTACACCTTTACTTAGCCATAGTGGGATATGTTCTCGAGCACCAAAAATCAAGTTCCTAGAGCAACGGCCAATATAACTCGCTCCACAGGCGCAGTTGAATGGATAGATACAATTTGAAGTGGCTAGTCTAGGTACTTCATCTTTTAGTCAAGGTAGCACCATCGGTCGTGTAGAGAATAATACGTGTAGTTCGCCAGCATTAAAAGTCCTTTGAACTGATTTTTTTAATTTCTTCGTAATTATCTCGCTTGGTATATCGCCGATGAATTGTAGTCGTATATATAAAAACTTCTTGTTTACAGACAGTGATTAGTCCTTTCCCACTTTCTTTGTCATGTGTTTCTTGATAAATTTTTCGGGATAGCTATTTCCCATCAAAGTATCATAAACAATGCTTAGTTCATCTTCAATGTGCGTCGGTGGCACAGTGGTTAGGACTCTCGCTGACCATGCACATGGTCTGGGGTTCGGTCCCTTGCCGACGCACACCCGATATCTATGGTCGGCCTGAATGTGGGCTACCGATATCCACGCTGAAAATTCCACACTTGTACCGAAAATACGGTGTGGAATCAAGCTGTAAATCAAAATAATAAAAATAAGAACATATCTACAATTTTTCTGAAAATGTACCAAAAAGCTGATGTCTAAAAGGAACAAATGTTTTATAAACAGTGCCATCGCCAGGCATCTCCTTGACACAGGGGCCATGACGTGGACGTCTCAAGATCGTTGAAAGTTATCAATCGGCAAAAGAATTCGACTCTCTCTCTAAGTTTGCTGAAGCCATCACCATCAAGCGCCTGAAACCTGATTTATGCGTTCAGAAAGAAAGTTATCAATCTTGCTTGGCCCTGGTAACTGTAAGTTTTCACCTCTCCTTCATACGATTACGTAATACCGGGAGTTTCCACTTTTCATTGTCTAGAAATCGTAAACAACATAGAAAGGAATCAATAAGATTCGCTTTTTACTCCTTTAATGCTCCGAGTGGGATATATAAGGCTTCAAGTAATGAATGAGCTTTGAAGTTTCAATAGCATAAGCAACCCAAAAGTATGCCGGAGATATGTGTGTAGATGACACATTCACAGTGCTTAGAACACACGATACAGATAGATTTTTCGAACATATCAATTCAAAGGTGGAGGCAATTCAATTCACTTGTGAATTGGAAAGTCAGGAACTCAGGGAGCTTCCAATCTTACATTGTAGCATGGAAATGGAAGAAGATAGGAAGTTAAACACTAGTGCTTACAGGAATCCCATACATTCCAATAAATATTTGGACTTCCAATCATCTCATCCTATGTCAGTGAAAATAGTATTGGTGAAATGTTTAAGTAAAAGAGCACAAAAACTAAATAGAGTAGGAAGGAAAATCTAAGACAGGAAGTGAGACATATAAGAGAAGCATTGAAACTTAATAATTACCCTGATAAATTAGTTAAAACGTATGTAGGGAAATGTGAAATTAAAATAAATAACGATAGTAGTAATAGTCATGATAATAATAATATTAATGATAACATGCATGTCAAACATGCGTAGGATAATGACAACACCAACAATAAGGAATCTAAATCATCAGTAGTAATTCAATACAAGGAAGGAATCTCGGAAACCTTACGCAGAATTCTTAACAACGCAGGTAGGAATAAAATTGGCTGGCATTCAAACCACTCACAAGCTCAATTAGAAACAAGCTTTGTCGGTTAAAGGATCAATCCTGCGGAGCCTTTAAAACAAAACAATTTAGCGGATCCAAAACCCCGAGAGCAATGATTGTCAGGTAAAATATATAGGTCAAAGTAGTAGAACAAGTGCAGTAAATCAGACTAGTCGAGCAGCATAAATACCTACCCAAATCTAGATTAGTTGACCCGAATAAGATACGAAATCTGGAGAATAGTTCAGCCTTAGATAGCACTCACTAAATGCAACTACACAAAACCGTACAATATGATGGTTGGGATAAGATGACAGTTTTTTATTCTAATGTAACAAGATGGAGGGATAGACTGATAACAGAAGCTTTGTTTATCGAATCAACTGAAGAAAATACGTGTGATAGGAATGATTCAACACCTGTCTAACAGGACAACTAGAAAATTCTACAACCCTAACGACGACAAATAGGAGAGAACAAATAAAACTATGATACTCAAGTTTCGAAGTCGTGTGATTATAATCGCTGATATGATTATGAACAATAATAGATTGTCTTCGAAACGTCATCCAGTAAAAAACACTTTCGCTGTGTGATACATCTAATAAACAAACTAATATGGAATTAGCGTTAGTAGTGTTTTCCATGGGTGGGGTGGGGGTTGGGAGTGGTCAGCCTCATGCTCAACATTTCCTGATTCTTCTTTTGATAATGACTATAATAATAGTGATCTGTTTTATTCCAAAAAAAAAACAATACTTATAATAAAGAAAGAAATTCTGAGCATTTGTCACAATATTGTATCTAATTTACTCATTGCAAATTAAAATAACCGGCGGGGTGGGGAAGTTTTCCACATTTACAGTAGGAATAAAGTGCGTCGGTAGCATGGCGGTTAGGACGCTCGCCGACCATGCACATGGTCCAGGGTTCGATCCCCGGCCGACGCACTCCTTTACCTCGCGAAGCCAGAAATAATGCTGGTGAAGAGGAAAGGTTGGAGATGAGGCTAGCAACCCCATCCTGTAAAATAAACACTGCTAAAGAAACTTCAAGCCACTAGATGAAGCCCTATGTTCCACTGGGGAACGTGAAGGAAAAAAAACAGTAGGAATAATGTCAAAACTGTGTGCAAAGTATAAAATGAGAATAATAATGGCAATAATAAGAGTGGGTTTGTTTCAAACAATATTGTCAATACAGTATGGAAATTTTTAGCATGTTATACAGTGACGAATCTAATGTTCTCTCTTGACATAGCATGATCAGGGGAAAAACAAAAGATAATGACAGTTATTAGGCAGCTTAGATTGTGTTTACAATCATGGAAAAAACAAAAACATGGGACTACAAATATAATAGGAGCAATAACCGTAAGACTTGATGGTATAAGGATACAGAAAATTGTTTGTTTACTAGTGATAAGCAGGTTAGTTAGTTAGTTCGTGCCTGACACTATTTTCATCACATAAAGTACGTTCCAAACATGCTAACGTGCGTCGGTGGCATAGCGGTTAGGATGCTCGCCGACCATGCACACGCTCTGGGGTTCGATCCCCGGTCGACGCACTCCTTTACCTCGCTAAGCCAGAAATAATGCTGGTGAAGAGTAAAGGTTGGGCATGAGGCTAGCAACCCCATCCTGTAAAATAAACACTGCTACAGAAACTTCAAGCCACTAGCTTGAAGCCCAATGTTCCACTGGGGAACGTGAAGGAAAAAAAACATGCTATCGTGGAATGTTTGTACTTAGACATGCGTACATAAAGTCTTTTGAAATGACTTCTTGGTCAATCTGAAGAAAAACAAAGTGAAAGCTAAGAGTAAAATGGATGCCCACATTCTGACGAAATCCTTTCAGCAAATTTCTTACATGAAATTAAGTGCTCATCACTAATGACGATGTCAACAATATGGCTCAATGCGATACCACGACTCACCCTACTGACAGCTAGTCTTCAGAGTTCTACGAAATATGACATAGTCTTTTTTAAGCAATCCAGGAAAGAATAAGGGTGAACAGTAAAGAACAATAGGTAAAATACACGAGTTGACAAACTGTAAGAGGAGTGGTTGAGTTATGCCTGAGTGCCTTAACTTCTTAATGTAAAAAGTCAGAAGAAATATTCTTTTAGAAATCGTTAAGACATGGGAAGACCAGGATAGGTCAATAGAAAGAATTAATCCAAGATACTTAACTTCAGACTTGATTTCTATATCAGCATCATCAATTTTGCAACGGTCATGGGAATTAACGGCTTCACTTAACTTCTTTTACACTGGAAACTGAAATTAACAGTCTGACATTTGGAAGGATTTAGTTTAAGACTATTAGATAAAGACCACTTACTGACTCCTGATAGAAAGCTGTTCATCTTAGTACAGTCCATCTGGGAGTTAACAGACATTGAGGTAAGTCATGCAAGAAGAAAGGGAACAGAAAAAAGGGAAACGACAGCCCCTTGAGGGACACCAGCCTCAGTAAGCAACGACGTGGACGACTTCCCTTCACATAAAGTGTACTGTTTTCTTCCTGAGAAATAAGAATGCAGCCATTTGACAACTCAAAAGGCAGTTTGAGTTTCAGCAAGCTTGTTTAAAAAAAGGTCCCTACGTACCACCGAGTCAAAAGCAGATGTATAATCGAGGAAGGCGCAGTGAACAAATTTAGCCCCTTTTGTCTAAACTGGAGACGATGTTATGATGCAAGATGGCAGCAGCTGCTTCTAAAGTACTTCTACTATGTTAGTAGGCAAATTGTTTGGAATTTTTTTAAAGGCTTTAGGTAAAAGTTCAAGATTAAGAAAAAACCAACTTTTTCACAGTTTTCGGAAAAGGAGAGGCTGTAGCAATAGGTCTACACTTGACACATATTCCAATAGATGACTTAGGTATAGGCAAAATTTTAATGTTTTTCCAAACAGCCGGTACAACATTTCTGGAAAAGGATTCGTTAAATATATCAGTGAGAATGTGACACATGTTAGAGAACCACTGGAAAACCTGGGAGTACTGGACAGAAGACATTGCGAAGAAATGGTCGCGCTATGTCGTGAATTGGCAGAAGTTAGAATTCAAGGACCATTGGATCGGTCCCCGAAGTCTGCTGATTGGTCTACGAGCTCGCCTTATAACCAGAAGGTCCTGGGTTCGAATCCCGGTGGGCGCGTACTGCTGAAGAGTCCCAAACTAGGACGAAACAGCTGTCCAGTACTCCCAGGTTTTCCAGTGGTTCTCTAACTGATGTCAGCTCATGATGAAATCCTCCATGCAATTAAACAAAATCCCTACCAAACCAATACTTGAAAATATTTTGTGTTTTGTTTTATTTTTTTTTGATAAATAGAGTCGACTCTGTCACTCTTTCTCTCTCGTCCTTCAGAATAGAACATCTAAAGGTCCGATTCGTAATATATGAAGACAAAAACATTGAAAAAACGTTAAAAATACACTCACCGAATAAAAAGTATGTCCCGCATAACAGTGCTCCTGGTAAGCTTAACATAGCTAAAGATATTTGACTAGTGGTATCATTTACACGATAAGGAGAAGGAAGAGGAGGATTTCCACTGAATTGACCTTCTTTAATCATTTCATTTATATGCAGACCATACGAGAAGCATACACCGTCCACAGTGAAAATGCATAAAAAGCTTCCAAGTGCAACAAGCCAACCCCAACCACCGTTTGGAATTGGTTCTCGTAAAAAATCTACAAAACAATAATAATAATGGTAAAATTGCATATGTTAGTAACACGGTATGCACTTTAATGCTTAACATCATTTAATAATAATAATTTGCTTTATTCCAGAATCAGTACTAGTAGTACAGTGTAGAATTTTCAGCACATATCTACAATATTTGCATCTAATTTTATCAAACATTTAAAAGGAGTATTTCAAAAAACAAAAATATAAACACAACAACAGCAAAAAAACACAAAATAATTTTTAAAAAATGCGAAAAAATACCAAGAAGTAGAAAGGAAAATAAACAATATAATAAATAATATCTCAGTATTGGGTAGTGGAAGCTATGATATGATTATGCATGGTTACAGTAAAGCTGTAGTTATGAAATGATATTTAAGATTGTTTATCGCCAAGATGGTCAGTTAATTTGATTGAAACAACACTAAACAATCATAAAATAACATTTCAGGGTTGTTGTTTTGTTTTTTATTGTCAGCTCTAATGCAGTGTTTGTAGTGGAAGTGTGAGTAATCCTGCATAATACAAAATTTAAAGATGGTGATAATGGCGTTCACACAACCAAGGATTGTCAGTTAATATTGCCGAAAAAAATAAAAAAATAAGAAAAAACAACCACAAAACTAATAATTGCATGATGTTCAATGACAGGAAAATTTTGTAATACTCATAGTGCTAATATAGTCGGAACCAGTAGATACACAAAAGAAGGAATAGAGTAAAGTACAAAAAGTAAGCCAATGTTAATAATTTAGGTAGCTTAGTATGTTTAAGAAGGTGTTCACTATAGAATACAAAATGAGAGAGAAATAAAAGAGCCTAAAATTATGTTATTAACAACAAAGCAAGTCATAGGTTTCACGCTTAACATTGATTTTCTTTGTCGCTTAGAACACGGGCCAAATATGGTATCGTTGAGTTCCTGTACTTGGTTGTACGAGCATAGATTATTTTATACTGATTTCTGGTTCTACCTGATGAGATACAAGGCGAAAGTTGGGAATAGAAGCGGGTGTTTGGGGTCGGAGAGTATGGCTTCAGACCATTTTACACATGTATTCAGATGTCTTTCAACTAATGTAGTGACTATACTAATAAGTTCACATGAATTAATCTCTCAACGCTTATTTAATAACATTTTGTTTAAAATAGAGTTTTTCTTGGTATACGGAGGTTAACTTTGTAGAAATCATTCGCGCAATAGAAGTGAGCTACATTGTCCTAACTGATTCCCTGACTGGTTTCATCATAGAACTTTGCAACGATGTGCAGCAGTTTGAGTTGCCACACTCCCTTCTTGTAGCACACAAAACAAGAGAAGAAAGTAAAAAGAAATGCAAAATGGAGACAGTAAACAGAAACATTAGGCAAGAACAATAGTGATATCGAAGAACAATACAGTTTTATTGGAAATTCTAAGTCACACAAGGAGTGGATGCATCAGCACGAGCCATTGACAACGAGGATTTTGAGGCATATCACCAATTGTCTCAAGTCATTGGTGTTTACAGTCCCGACGACCCCAACCAACCAGTCAGGAAGTCTATACCTTCCTATGTGACTGGCTGGTATAAACTAACTGTTGTGGATTTCATTGACTGATGAAGCCAGCTAGCTCTTTGACAACCTGATCAATCCTATTTCAGCTAACACTAACCGTCGAGGAAGGTGATCGATGGCTAGACATGCATGTATAAGACATGTTACAACCATCTCAGTCAATGCAGATTCACAACCTCTTCGATTAATTTCCCCTCCTTGCCTAACACTCGAACAAAGCCTAATCTCAGTATAACTCACCCTATTATACCACTTAACACGGGCGATAGAACACAAGCCCCTTTTCATATCTTTCACTCTCAACGGCCAGGTCTCACATTCATATGAGAGGACGGAGCGGACCGCTGTGCGGTACACACGTCCTTTGGTCGACAGCCAGTCGGATATCATGTCTACGCCAGAGACGACGTAAACTGGCACATGCGAAACTAGCCTTCTGTATTCGTGCTGAGATTTCGTCGGTGATCAACCTGTTGGTACTGGCTGATGCAACTTACCAAATAAGTGCGGTGGTCAACGTGCTCTATCTACTACTTCACTCTATTTCTAAACTAGGAATCAGTGTAGGTCCAGTCCTGTAGCATCATCTTACATTCCGGCGGGAGTGAATCGCATGCCAAACATTCATGGATCGCAGCTCAAGGTGTTCAGAGGACGCTGTTCCATTGTCCAATATGTTACTACTTAATACTTATTAGAATAGTGACGATTCAAATAGTACTAGTTGTGGGAATTAGGCATTTAGAGGGAGGTTTATTGTCTCACAAAAGTGTTACAGGTCTTTACCGTACAAAGTAGCCAAAAGAACAAGAGAGAGATTGTTGAGGAGAAGTGGATTCCACAAGTTTCTGACCGACGCAGGTGTTTGCAGTGCTAGGGGACTGAAAGCTACTAGTAGTTACAAGCAGATGAGTAACTCAGAATTTATTTCAGACGTCATTAACGTATTCAGTACAGACTGTCGTAGTGACAATAAAAGTTATGACGAGTATGCACACAAGGGTGCTTATGATCACCAATCACATTCCTAATTGTGGTGGACTGGATTATGCCTCAGACAGTGGGAAACGAGAAGACAGGGATATCCTGGACCGACGTGAAGAACCTACAAGACCTGGATTTCGCTCGTGGGTGATTTATGTTTGATATCACACAAAATCGAAGACTTACAAGCGAAAACCGACAAACTGGTCGAAGAAGCTGCAAAGACAGGACTCCAGGTGAATATAGACAAGACGGAGGCTATGAAAATAACCAACCAACAACAACAGCAGCAGCAACAACAACACCCACCACCAATCACCATCAACGGGAGGAATTTGAAAGAGGTTACTTCATTCACTCACTGATCTAGGGATCATTGTCTCAACTACACGAGGAACGGACGAGAATGACAAATCGAGAATCGAGTAGGCGAGAAACACATTCATCAAACTAAAACCAACCAATCTGGAAATCTTCCGCTGTCACTCAACCTGCATCAACAATAAAATTCGGATTTTCAATACAAACGTCAAGTCAGTCACTTCTTCTATACGGATGGATCAGAAACTTGGCGGCGGGTCACAAAGAATATTTCCAACAGCCTGTTGCAGACCTTTATCAACAACTGTCTTCGCTGGCTCTATACTGAAAATCAGATGGCCGGAAACAATCACCAACAAGAAACTATGGGAACAAACAAAACAAGAACCAATCGCTCAACAAATATGCAGGAGAAAGTGGAGATGGATTTGACACTCACTGAGGAGGCCGTTGGTGACATCGTGCGTCAGGCCAGCGCTCGAGTGGAACCCGAAAGGGAAGCGGCGAGTGGGACGTCCAAGGGTGACATGGAGCCGATCGTGTGGAGAGGAGTTGAAACAGTATGGACTAACATGGATGCAAGTGAAAAGTACAGCAGAAGACAGAAGCAAGCGGAGACGTGCAGTTGAAGCCCTTTGTTCCACTAGGAACCCAAGGGAGCAATAATAATAATAATGCAATTTCCAATGAGGAAATAGAAGATTTCGCTGTTGAATCGATCACTGATGAGGCTTCTTAGGCTTCAGTTACGTAATTATTTAAATTACACTTTATCAGTGATTGAAGAAAGAAGTCTTCTTGATCGATTCGCCGAAGCTGTCTTGAAGATAATGACGGACACCAATACATAACGGTGGCGGATGTCAGCAAGATCCTCCTTATATTCAGGCAGTTATTCCTTCAGTTGCCCAGTGACGTCAGCGGAGTGAGGGAAATGCTCCACTAGGTTATAAGGCTCAAAAGCTTACTGTCATTTAGTTATATTAAAGTTAATTTCATTGCAGTTGTTTGCGAAAACCTGCAAAACGTTTTATGAAATACACATTTAGCTAAAATGCAGCTACTGATTCGGCAAATGTGCGTTTCCAAGGTGTCGTCTTCACGAAGTTCGCATAGCATTCAATAACTATGATCATACGCCAAGGGCGGGTGGAATCTTTTGTGGTAGACAACAGGTAACTCATCATAAGGGTTTCTCAATCTTTGAATGTCTGCTAGTGGGTATGGTTTCACTGTTTCCACTAGAATTTATGCATTCAGTATACTTAGGTGTAGTCATGAAAATTCCAAATTTGTGAGAAAGCTTGGGCAGGTAGTCTTAAAAATGGGATGAATCACCAGGTGTGTGTGAATGAAACAGATAAAAATCTACTGCGTAACCGGTAAAAATGTGGTGAGAGCTGTCTGCAAGACAAAATTGTAGACAACAATTTACTTCAATGTTTACGTCCCAAATCGCGGTAATGAGAAAAACGATAACAAAGCTTAACCTTGAGGAACTCACTAACCAGTCACAGCAGATTTAACGTGTGCAAATACGATTCGCAGATATATGGCCTGGCCTTCTAAGAAACGACCACAAAAAGATGACAGAATGAACTTTAAACAAGAAAACAACCAATCAGAAGAGGCTGCTTCTCTGCTAACAATAACGAATAATAATGTGCATAAAAATCTATAAATATCTGTTGATTTTCTCAGTATACAATCCGTTGCCTGGCCCTTGTCTTCTGTCGTTACAAAAGTAATGCACGATTTTTCTAGGAAATACAGACCTCTAGGCGAAAGCAGCATGTGGAGAGCTACATAATGCAGATGCCTTCGTCATAGTTGGGTTCTATAATACTGGAAAATGCCTTATCTAAGCCAATGTATTTAAATTTCAAGCAGCTATCACTTTGCATTTATTTACTAAGTCCCTCTAAGGTCAGGCTAGAAACCATTAGCAATAAGAAAATCTGCAGTGGAACAAACCAAACAAGAATTGATGCCTCAACAAATACGTAGGAGAAAATGGAGATGGGTTGGGCACACGCTCAAAAGACCATCGAATGAAATCGCGTGACAAGCCATCGCTTGAGTGGAACCCCAATGGGAAATGACGAGTGGGTCATCAGTGCGAGGGTGACATGGAGAAAATGGTTTAGCAAGGAGGAGATGACAGATTATTGGCGATCGTGTGGCTAGCCAGCTGAAGAGGACAGCAGGAGAACGAACAAAGCGAAGATGTGTTGTTGAAGCCCTATGTTTCACTCGTAACCCTAGGGAACAATAATAGTGATAATAAGGTCTGTAAGGATGTCTTAATAATAATAATAATAATAGTGATTTTCTTTATTCCACTACAGTTTTTATGATACAGAGTGTGGAATTCTCAGCATTCGGTACAACATTGTTGCATCTAATTTACTCGACAAAAGCAAAAACAAAAATATAATATTACAGGGTAAACGTAACCAGAATTGATAATAGTGGCTTCTCGGTATTTGCAGTGGCAATAAATCCAAAAATGTACAACAAGTGTAAAATAATGACAATAATGTTAAACAGCTAAAAATTATAAGACAATTGAAATAGTGTCATCATAGATTACAAACAAAACAGGAGTGGATAAAAGAGCCAATTATTATTTTGCTAATAACGTAGTAAATCGTAGGTAGGTTTCCTTGCTTGACATTATCTCTGTGACATAGGACGCGGGTCAAATACGGTGTTGTTGAGTTTTCTTTACTTGGTTGTGAGAGCGTTCAATCTTGTATAATGACTTCTAGTCCCACCTGATGAGATGCAAGGCCGGGAGAGAGTTGTGAACAAAAGACAGTGTTGCGAGTCATACAATGTGGATTTAACTGGTTTCTCTGCTAATCTGTGACGTGTCTACTTGAAACGCTGCTACCTACTTGTAATTTTATTAATTTGCCCCTTGACCGGAAATTATTCTGGAACTTTTCCATCCATTTATTATAAATACACGAATGTACAGCTATCATCTAGTTGACGGTGACTTCGTTGAAAAGAAAATTTTCTTCCTCGCTGCAACTGTCTTTTTTATTATACCCTATGATCAAATGTGGATATTTCGTCAATTTAAAATATATACATTTTCTTTTCTACTTTATCTTACTTAACCTGACATTGAAAAGTTGAAATAAGATTTAAGAAATATGTTAGGCTGACTGGTAAAATTAACAACAAAAAGAACCAATCATCAATTTAGGCATTTAGTGATTGATTATTTGATTGACTGACTGACTAACTGACTGATCGATTGTCTGACTATCAGACTGATTGACCTATCCACGTAGAATATTGCATTAAAAGTGAACTAGTTCAAGTTCCTATAGTTCCAATATTCATATCACAAAAACCTTTGTATGCAAAAGAAGTATGTACAGTCACTATATCATCTACTTTGGTCGAAGAGGGATAAACATTTACTGAGTTATAAGTGAATTTTAGATTTTTCCCGTCGATTGATTGTACCGAAGTGCTCGGTCTCAGATTGACATGGCTGTCGGCTTCTTGTGCAGATGCTTCGACGATGTCTGGGCATTTAATTAGAATTTAATTGGTGGATGGTGACTAGCACTGGAATCTAGGATAATGCGCACTTCGTCCTATTTGGGACTCGTCATCTGGATGTACCTGCATTTCCCAGTGAGTGATGATGTTCCCACCGAGGGAAAATCTAAAATTCAATTAAACAATTAATATAACCCTTTGCACAAAAGGTGGCCAGCTCTCGTGGCCCAAGTGGTCTAGTGGCTAACGCTTTGGTGTTTGAAACTATGGGCATTGGGTTCGAGCTTTGGTGGGAACATCATCACTCACTGTGGAAATGCAGGTACATCCAGCCGATGAGTTCCAAATAGGACGAAATGCGCATCCTGGTGGATTCCACTGCTAGTCACCATCCACCAACTAAATTTACTGAGTTACTTTTCATTTTATTTATTTAGTGAATTTGTGTACCTTTCCGTCATTACTGAGATGATGATTTTTATTACTATTCTCACTTGTTCACTAGTTGGTGTTACAGGACTGGACTACATCGACTCACTCACTGCTAGCTGAAAGATAGGCAGGAGTGAATTGGTGGCTGAGCGTGTTGACCATTTCACTTATTTGGTTGGGAAGTTGCATCAGCCAGACCCAACGGGTTGATCACTGACGAAATCTCAGCACGGATACAGAAGACTAGATTGGCATACGTCAACTTACGCCATCTCTGGCTTAGTAGACGTGATATCTGGCTGGCTATCGACCGAAGGACGTGTGTACTGCACAACAGTAGTTCGCTCCGTCAACCTTTATGGCTTTAGTAAAACATGGTCACACCAACTCGAAGATTTCACAGGCGAAAATCAACAAACTGGCTGAAGAAGCAGCGTAGAGAGGACTTCAAGTAAAGTTAAAAAAGACGGAGGTGATGCAGACACCCAACCAAGAAGAATAACAAGCACCAGTCATTATCGTCGACAGAAGGAATTTGAAATAAGCCACTTCCTTCACTTCTCTAGGCAACATCATCTCAACTACAGGCGGCAGCACGGATGAGGATGTCAAAGTCAGACAGAATCGGAAAGGTGACGTACACCTTCATCAAATATGAATTCAGTTTGGAAATCTTCTGCACTTAACATAAGGAACAAAATTCAGATCTTCAACACCAGTGTTAAGTCAGTCAATGGTACTATATGGGTCAGAAACTCGGCGCATCACAAGAAGCGTTTCTAACAGATTGCTACAGTCTTTTATCAACAGCTGGCGCTTTCTCCGGCTCCATATTGAAGATTGAATGGCCAGTTAGAAAAAATTAGCAACAAGAAACTATAGGAACAGACCAATGAAGAACGTATCGTTCCACAAATATGTAGGGGGAAATGGAGATCGATAGATCGAGCATACTTTGAGGAGACCGTCGAATGACATCGCGCGTCAGGCCATCACTTGAGTGAAAGACAACGAGTGGGGCGTCCGAGAGTGACAAGGTGGAGATCGTGAGAGGAGGAGATGAAAGCCGGTGGGCGACCGTAGTTCCAGTTGAAGAGGACAGCACCAAATCGAACAAATTGGAGACGTGTTGTTTAAGCACTATTTTCCACTAGGAACGCAAGGGAACAATAATAATAATAATCTACGGTCAGGAATGAAATGAATCGGTCACTGGATGGTAGTCTCAACGGCCTAATCGTAAATAAACTGGTCGAAATCTATAAATAATCCCCAGTCTTAAATTTTCTCCTGAATGTATGTTCAAAGATGCAGAGTCGAAGGTGAGAAATGGTCAGGAAAGTTTTGTGTGTTTATGGAAGTGTATGGGCAGTTATTACTTTCCGGTTGCTCGTGCCATTGAAGTTGACTTCTTTTTTGAGTGTCTAAAACAGAAGAGGCATTAGTGCTGCTTGACCGCAGAGCCCAAAGGACAACTCCTCCAGGCCGGTGACACATAGTCTGTTTGAGTTGTGTCCGTATTACTGCCTTACTGCCAACTGCGGACCACCACGAGATAAGTTTAGATGTACAATGTTCGGGATCAAGCTTTTATCAACCTGCAATCCCCAGAGCGGTAAAACAGAATGCTGGCCATCTGAGGGGAACACCTTACTACTGTCACATCCTCATTCTCCAGTATTACGAATTTTTCGACAGAGCCACAAAATAGTGCAAACAAATTAAGTTATCTCAATGGTCAGATTTCCTTCACAAACCAACATCAGTTCAAAATAGATCAGGGCTTTTCAACAGTGCTCACCCACAATCCCTCCAGAGACCAAACCTGCAACCTTCACGTTTTGCGACCAAGTCCGTTGATCATTCATTCAGTCATGTGGGCTGGAGTTTATTGACCCATACATTTTAACTGCATCAATTTTGTGACATGTGTCACTACGCTAACCAATGCCTTCAACGAATATCCACTTCACCTTGACACGGTGGACGCCCCCCCACCACCACAACTTCAGGACATCCATTAGCTGGCAATGAGCTGGTGATCGATAATAAGATTATGGAGTTTTTGTGGGGATTTAGGCTACACTATGACAGTAACTGCTAACCAAACGACCTTTCTAGCACAGTAAAACCTGAAGGCGTCAATACTGTGGTTAGGCGTCGAGTGCTAGGTAGGTGGGAGGGAAAATCAATCGACGAGGCCGTGAAGTTACATCGAATGAGATGGTTAGGACATGTGTTATACATGCATGTCGAGCCATCGATCACCTTCTTTGATGGTGAATGTTAGCTGAAATAGGATTGATCAGGTTGAGAAAGAGTTAGCTGCTGGTGGTCAAACGAAAACATGGCTTCATCAGTCAATGAAATCCACAACAGTTAGTTTATACCAGCCAGTCACGTAGGAAGGTGTAGACTTCCTGACTGGTTGGTTGGGGTCCTCGGGACGGTAAACATCAATGGCTGGAGACAGAGAATTGGTGATATGGCTCAAAATCATTGTCAATGGCTGACGCAGATGCATCCAATAAAACTATATGGTTCTTCAATATTACTATGGTTTTTACCTTAAATCTCTGTTTACTGTCTCTATTTTGCATTTCTTTTTACTTTCTTCCCTTGTTTTGTGTGCTGAGTGAAGCGAGGAGACTCGAACTGCTGCACATCGGTGCAAAGTTCTATGATGAAACCAGTCAGTCAGTCAATCAGTCAGCCAAAACCTCGAGGAATATTGCTTCCAGTCATTGTAGGATCACTGGTTCATTGTGAGATGCCAGCCCGACACCACCACCACCACCCAGTTAAGGTAGCAGCTATCGATCAGAATGCTCAAAGGTGATTAAAAAAAGAAAACTTACATATATATATATATATATATATATATATATATAAAACAAAAGTAAAGACAAATTGCAAAACCAACCTTCAGTGATACTATATGGTTCTTTTTCAACAATATGACATTGAATATTTCCATCATCATTATCATCATCATTTGGTAGAGGGATATTTTCATCAACATTTCCAGATAATCGATTCATCTGATCAGGTAAATATGATTGATTCGATGCAGTCAGAGTAATCTCTTTATCACCTGATGCTGCTGATGCATGTTTTGTTGTTGTTGTCGGTGGCGGCGGCGGTGGTTGCGGTTGTGGTTGTGGTGGTGATGGTGGTGTTGTTGTTGTTGTCATCAATGAATGTAAATCTGTAACAATTGGTTGTGAATGTAATCTTGACGGTTTTTCTTTACAATAATGAATATGAATAGGCTTCACTGGTTCATCAAACACTGTACTAACATGCTTTATTTCTTTATTAATATCAGTGATATTTATGGGTAGATTTGTAGAATTGTAAATATTCTGTGTAATTATACGATTATCATCTGTACCAATATAGAATTGATGAATCATTGGTAAAGTTGGCGCTGAACTTTCTCTTTGCATGCATAACATGATATTACAGTTAGTATTTATTATTAATATTGGTACAGTTATCAAAGCGAATGACAAATTTCACTTAGGTGTGCTCTAAATGATTTCACGTTTGAATGTGAACCAATTTTTATTCTGTGAGAGAAGTGAACAAAACAAAAATAAAAATAATTCTGTTCTTTTTTTTCTTAACAAAATAAGAATAACATTTAGATACTTTGATTGGACACTAGTAGTTAGTAACTAATGGAATGAAATGGAATGGAATGTGTCTAGCCCTTCACTATTAGTCAGTCAAGTTTGCAATGTGGTCACCATACCCACTCTGGGGGGCTTGCAATCATGGTGCACTTTAAATTGTTGAATACATATTAGATGGTTGGAGGCAATCAGTCATAGGAAGCTTTGCTTGGTTTAGGTTTCGTGCCAGCTGGCAGTCACCAGTCAGTTAGCAAAGTGTTTATCTACAACAGACAACGATCAGCATAAATGGAAGGAACCTGAAAGAAACAGCATCTTTTACCTACCCACCTGGGAAGCATCATTTCAACTACAGGCGGACGGAACTGACGAGGATATCAAAGAAAGAACCGGAATGCAAGACAAGCTTTCACTACTCTCAAGTCTGTGTGGAGGTCAACAGCACTCACCATCAAAATGAGAATAAGATCCGGATTTTCAACTCCAATGTGAAGTCAGTCAGTGCTACTCACTATATGGATCAGAGACTTGCACTGCGCGTCATAAAGAGCATCTCAAACAAACTACAGACCTTCACTAACAGCTAGCTGTCTTTGCTCAATACTCAAGATCAGATGGCTGGTCAGAAAAGATCAGCAACAGGGATCTCTGGGAGCGAACCAACCATGAGCCGATTGTCAAACAAATAGGCAGGAAGAAATGGAGATGGATTGGCCATACTCTCAGGAAACCATCATCAAGTGACATCACTAGACAAGCCATTGCTCGAGTGGAACCCGAAAGGGAAGCGGCAAGTTGGTCGTCAGTGCAAGGGTGACTCGGAGGAGGTCATGTGAAGAGGAGATGAAGACGTGTGGGCAGACATGGAGCCAGGAGAAGACTCTAGCAGAGAACAGCACGCAATGGAGACGCACGGTTGAAGCCCTATGTTCCTCTAGGAATTAAAGGCAACAATAATAATAATAAGGTGATGCGGGTTCGAATCTCAAAGAAGAGACACGCCATGCTAACTGGTGAGTACCAACCAGCAAGAAACCTAGGTTAAGCAAGGCTTCATGTGGCCGATTGCCTCCAACTATCGAATACCAACCAGTGGATAACTTCATTATTTGATTTTCTCAATGATACTATAATACACCACTTTCAAACACATTAAATGAAGATACAGTTTATGGGATATTTATACATACATATATAATTAATCCCACAAGGGTGAAATTTATCCACATTTCCATATCATCTAGCACCTACATAATACATAAAAAGAAGTGATGATCGATTTTATCCACATGCCATTCGCATAAATACCTTTATTTCTTTTTTCTTGACTAAACAAACATCTGATACTGTTCTATTGTTCTTTTTTAACACACTGTACATTTATGGATTCCCGATAAGTACATACAATATTAACATCATATGATATGAAATATCAAGAAGAAAAAAAAGGAGAAAAACACAATTTACGAATAAAAAGAAAATTCATGGCAACATTTTCATTACAAAACACAGTAGAATACAATACACGTATAAGGAAAAGAAAATATCATCAATCCCCGATCCATTATATTTACTTATTTATTTAGTTAGTTATTCATTAATATATTCAGACAATCATCGATAACTAAACACGAAAACATGCACCGGAGAGAAAAAAACAAACAAACATCAACAAAGACAAGACTGATTATCGAGCAGAATACTTCTTAACTTTGAGATATTCGGAAGTTTTCACACACACACACACATCGTACACAAAAAAATACAAGCAGAGATACATATATGCAAAATAAAGGAATTAATTAGAGCGATGTAGAAAATCAACTGCTATTTCAGACGTATACTGAATAAACTCCTTGTGTAATTCTAAGCTGTGTTACCTTCAAACGTATGTAATCATCAATCAGGAGAAAAGAGATGAGCTCAATATGGCAGTAGTAAATATGTTTTTATTCATAAAACTAAAGGAAGTGGATAGAGACGACTAACGGAGACATCATTCATCAAATGTGAAACTTTTTTAAACTATTCTTTCAAAAAGTATCCAAGTTATCAACTGTTATTATTTTTCATCCTTTTGGTTCAGAGTGGAACACAGGGTTTCATTCTATGCTGTTCTCTTCAGTCCTTTTTAGCTTGCTTCACGACTGCCCATACAGCCTCATCTTCTCACCATCACGCCACCCTCGGTCGGTCGGTCGGTTTTCCACAGGGAACTTTGCACATATGTGCGACAGATCAAGTCGCCACACTTCACTCAGCAAACAAAGCAAGAGAAGAAAGTAGGAGAAATGCATAATATAGACAGTAAACAGAGGTGTGAGACAAAGGAATAGTAATAATGAAGAACAAAACAGTTTAATTGGAAATCATAAATCACAAAGAGTGGATGCATCTGCACCAGCCATTGACAACGATTTTGAGCCATGTCACCAATTGTTTCCAACCATTGGTTTTTACCGTCCCGAGGACCCCAACTAGTCAGGAAGTCTACATCCTCCTACGTGGCTTAAGCTAACTGTTGTGGATTTCATTGACTGGTGAAGTTATGTTTTGGTTTGACCGCCGCTGGCTCTTTTCCAGCTTGACCGCATATCAGCTAACATTGCCCATTGTCGAGGAAGGCGATGACTAGGCATATGTAACACATGTCCTAACCATCTCAGCCGATGTAATTTCACAGTCTCGTCGACTGGTTTCCCCTCCTTACCTAGCACTCGACCAATGCCTAACCTCAATATTGCTCACCTTATTATACCACTTCACACGGGAGATAGAACGCAGGCACCTATGATCGAAGACAGCTAATCTTTTCATGTATTCCGCTCTCAATGGCCAGGTCTCACAGCCATAAAGGAGGACGGAGCGGACTGATGAGCAGTACACACGCCCTTTGGTCGATAGTAGGATATCACGTCTACGCCACCCTCATATGCCTGATTCGTCGTTTGCCATTCGGGTGCTAATCGAACGACCTATTCATGATGTCACTCAACGGTATCCTAAGGTATATGCTAGGACAGCAATACTTCAATGACTCATTGAGCTAGATGCTCAATTTCCAACTAATAAGATACTTATCAGAACATTATCCCAATCACCAAGGTCTATGCCGTCTATGCTTAGTCATCGCCTTCCTCGACAATGGGCAACATTAGCTGACATAGGGTCATGTTGGAAAAGAGCCAGCTAATGGTGGTCAAACGAAAACATGGCTTCATCAGTCAATGAAATCCACAACAGTTAGTTTAAGCCAAGTAGGAAGGTGTAGACTTCCTGGTTGGGTTCCTCGGGACGGTAAAAACCAACGTTTGGAAACAACTGGTGACATTGGCTCAAAATCGTTCTCTATGGCTGGCGTAGATGCATCCACTCCTTGTGACTTATGATTTCCAATTAAACTGTTTTGTTCTTCGTTATTACTATATCTTTGTCTCACACCACTGTTTACTGTCTCTATTATGCATTTCTTCTCTTGCTTTGTGTGCTACAAAGAGGGAGTGTGGCGACTTGAACTGCCGCACATCGGTGCAAAGTTCCATGTCGAATACAGACAGACAGATGCCATCTGATGTCACGACAAGCCACACAATAAAACCGGCATGCATCAGAGGGTCAATGGTAGAATGCACGCCAACCACTGACTTGATTCAGGTTCGATTCTCGGTCAACTTACTCCTAAACCTGCATTAGCCGATGGTAGTGAACCTGGTAAATGGAAGAGGACGGGGCCTGAGGCTGGCAATCTCACCCCGTAAAATTAATAAAACCACTAATAAAACTTCTAAGCTTGATCTTGGAGTCATATGTCTCACTAAGAACGCAAAGGAATGAAAAATAATCTCCAAGTACGAGTGAAAATGATCCAATTAATTAAACATTTTGTCTACTAAACATTAATCGGCACCCATAACGTAGCATACAGTTTCAGTTTGAATGTTATAGCAAAGTTAACGAGAAATGAGGAAACTAAGCAATCAGTTTAAATCTCACCCGTTTGGGAGTAGTGCTAATAGCTAACTGTATACCATCATTCTACTTAAGGTGTTTTTCGGATATGTATTTCAGTATGTTGATAACCTTGCGGGAACACTTTCCCCTTACAAGCACTGAACAAAAAAGTTTCGACGAGTTTTAGATTACAATAGGTATGATGAAGTTAGAGCAAACGGCAAAGGATGAATATGTGACAACTGTAGGCACAAACTGAACAAAATCCAGCCAGATATTCTTGTATCTGTTTATACACCTCCTACAGAGCCAAAGCATAATTCGCTATTGGATAAGATGTACACAACTAAACCAAGACGATGGGAGATATTACAGATACATGGTTGTATTATGTCGCTCAGTTAAAAATGGGTCCAAGATATAGCAGAAAATATGACATTCAGTCATCCCTCAACTACAAACCTCTGATAAACCTCAGTACTTACGTTGGAAATCTATTGTTCTCAAGCCACAGCAACTCCAAATTCATTTCCTCGCTGTGTGCATTTGTGCTAAACTTAAATGTTTCTCCCTATTTCGAACTGATTCTTGCCAAAGTAAGATTAACTCCACTATACCTAGAAATACAGGATGCATCGGATCTAATGGAAATTTTGTAGTCATATTTACTGACAGATCTTCAAAACCTCATTCTAGAGTAAGGCTGTAAGTTTTTCTGTAATCTACTGTGACAGCACACTTCCAACCTTGATGGGCAACTCCCACAACTTTGTTAGCTATCATGTTGGGGAAATATAGTGTAGAGCTATATTTGAACAAAGCAAGAACAACAACTGTACCAGGATAATATGAGCTCATCT